TCTATCTCACAATTGAAATTTCTAAATAAGTTTAGTATATAATTAATACATACTAATGAATGAAATTACCTATTTAATTATTTAAAAGAGACTTGGAATGATAAATCCAAATAATGCAGTTTTACATGGCACCACATTTATAAATTACTAGTTCAATACCTCGTGCAAATATATGGAGTATTTTCAATTTAATTTCATATCATAATTAAAATTATTAAAAAAATCTTTAAATTATATTATTGGAAAAGGAATAGACAAAAAGTTATACATTCGAACTTTTTAGCATACAAATTATTGTTGATAATTAATTTATTAATTTACTATTTATAATTAATTAAATACTTTTTTATGTCCTTACACAAAATTTTTTTTCAACAAAATCAACATGAGCTCGTAATGAATCAATACATTATTATTATTTTCTAAAAAAACATTCTAAATACATGGAACACTAATTATAAAAGAACAATGAAAAACCAATAAATGGTAACAAAAAGAAAATCAAACTTTAGCTATACACTAATCTAAAATATTCTCGTGCTTGACAATCACTATTATTTAACCCTCATAAATTATGGAATGATAATGTCGCAAACCTTGGATTCAAGATATAGATTCAACATAGGTATTCTCTGCAATTTGATGAGTATGCCACCAACATGATTTTGAGATGTTTTTTAGATTGAATAAAACATTTGAGAGCAATGTTGTGAGAGAATTAAGTGTTGAGAAAAAATAGTGAAAGAAAGTATGTTTTTATAGGAGTAGGAGATAAAACGTTATAAAACTTTTGAAATTCTAATATGAATTGTAATTAAAGAAAAAAATTTAATTTTATGGTGTAGAAAACCTTTTGTATTTTAACCAATTGCATTCTAACATTGGTTCGATCATATACATTTATTGTTATTGATAATTAATAATTAATATAATATTTATAATAAATTATTAATGGTATAATTTTGTAAATTAATAAATTAAGGAAGGGGCAAAAATGTCCAAAAATGTTTTTTCAAGATCCTCCCATTTTAATATAGTATAGATTTCTAAAGGAATAACATATGTAAATGAATTAATTGAAAGCTAAAAGAAATTTTAACTGATGATTACAATTAAATTATTTGAGGTGTGTTTGGGAGTGATTTTGGTATGGTTAAAATCACTTTTGTCATTGTCAAAATTACTTCCCTTTCCATTGATCATATTTGGCAAATTAAGAAATTGATTTTAGAAAAGCTTAAAATCACTCTAAATTGATTCTTAAGGTATCAGTTGATGGTGATTTTGAAAAATCAATTATATTTAAATCTCTTTTTTTTTTCAAAATCACTAATTCTATTATCACTCTCAATCCTAAACACACCCTTCCTCCGTAAAATAATTGATGATTTATGTGAAAACCAAAAGACTTATCAAATTTTAGAGATAAAACAACTAAAAATAGAAATATATATAAAGCTGAATATAACTGCATATATTTAAATGCTATTTTTTAGTCTTAAAGAAAAGATGGTCTTCTATTGAAAATAAATAAAATTTATACTCTAATAGTATCATTTTAAATGTATTTTAAATTGCTATTTATTTAATTGAAGGAAAAAATACATGGACAAAAAAAAAAGTGGGTATAAATCTTTAAAGTAAAATACTTAAAAGAATGTGAATTAAAAAAGAAATAGGCTAGCTAGCCACATGAGCTTAACTAAATGGTAATTTTTGACATATATCTCTAACCAATAGATCATGAATTCGAATTCTCCATATCACTTATTGTATAAAAAAAAAAGATGGAGAGAGTTACTCTCACCTCATATTCCATTTTTATTTTTACCATAATTTTTTTAATTATGGATAATTATGGATTAGGTTTTGATTTGGGTTAAGAGATGTTGGGGTAAATTTGGGACATGACGTGGAGATTCCCTATCCAAAGCATTTGGATTTGAGTTCATATCTCAAATTTGAATGACCCACAAAGGAGAAGCGTTAAGCGCATCAGATATATGGTAATCGTACGTGTTGGGGTTTATGCTCTAAACTCGTGGTTTGTAAATGTAATTACAAATTTATTTATTTCAATAAAATTGTTATTGATGTTTATTTTAGACTTTCATTAATCCAAATCCAATAAACTAAGATCTAAGGTTATGTAGTGTAACTGGAACAGTATATATTTAATATAGAATATATATATACGATATATATACAATATATATTCGATATACAAGTGGATAATGTTATAGTAATAACCTAGATGGTCTATAGTATATGGATAAAGTTGGATACCTTATCCTGGTAACACTATGGATACGGCCCACTTGGTAATAATTACAAATGACTTGATCCAGGTCGTTCATGTGGAGAGACATGCCAGTGGGGATATCCTATACAATGAGTTTGTATAAGACTGGACCGCAAAATAATTAATCTTTAGTTGTAACACTGTTAACTAATAGATTAATATTTCAATAGGATGACTAGGTAACTTGTTCTCAATCTTGAGTGAGTTCTGGACTCCTGCCTGTTAGGGCTCGTTCTTTGATTTTTGTGGGAGAGAATAGTCCGAGTTGCCAACTCAACATTCCTACCATTTTGGGGACGAGATCGAGTGGGGAGCTGGGGGCATAACTTTATAAGATGAAATTCACTCCTCCCCGACTTTAGGGTAGTAGATGAGTGTTCCCTTTAGTGCTGACTTCGAGACTTGAACAAAGGGTCCCACCCTCTCACTAGCCCGAGAGGGACTTCTAGTTATTGATCGGACCATAACCGAATTGTTCATTAGAGGATCATCGGTACTTAAGGTACAAGATGTAACACAGGAGTAAAACGGTAATTAATTTGACCCAACTGTGGTTACGAACACTCATGAATGATTGACTTGTCGTTAATGGTCGATATCCGTGGACACAGAAATATTCTATAGTGAGAAGAGTGCGGCTGCGGGTTTTTAGTGGAGTAACCCCCAGTTAACGTATGTTGATTAAGGTGGCTAATGAGTTTAACCAATTAATCTCGTAATATTGGAGCTTCTGATCTATAGATCCATTAGGTCCCCTTGCTAGCTCATAAAGGATAATCAAGAACATCTAGTTTTTGGAAGGAATCTGAATTTTTCAAATTTAATTAAAGAAAATTTGAGCTAATTATGTATGACACAATTAATATAATATATGATGATGTATTATAAAACTATATATTATGAGAGAATAATGTGAATAGGATTTCGAGAATAATGAATTAGATTCCTATTAAAACTATATGTTAAAATTTAATATGAATTAGATTTATATTAAATACTGTAGGCTAGGAGGGAAATGTGAAGTTGAATATGATTTAAATATTAATTGATTTAATCATATGTGATTTAATTAAATTATGATTAATTAATTAATTAATTAATTAAGATTTAATTAATTATTAATTAAATTAAAATAATTTTAACTTAATTAATTAGTTAATTTATTTATTAAATTAAATATAACTAAATATATATATATATATATATATATAATTATATTAATTAATTTAATTAATTAAATAACTCACCACATCCCAACCAAATTGCTACTAAGTGGTTAGGTGGATATTGAGAGGTTACTCTCACTCCTCTCTCTTCCCTGATTCTTTACCAACATAAGCGACTTCTCTATTTTTGGGGTTGGTTTTTCTTGAAAGTGTTTACAGAAAAGAAAAATCACTCTCCCTCATTATATAACAAATCTTAACATTTTTTTTCGAAAAAAAAATCCCAACATTCCCTGTATTTTTCCCTTTTTCCGAGAAGAAGGATCCCACAATCCAAATCCTTATTACTAGAGGATAACAATGTTGCTTTGTGGTGGAATCAGAATAGGCACGAGATGTCAGTGGTCCCCATACCCTCTCATTATGCTCTCCCTCTCCTCGTAAAAGGGACAAGTACTTAAATAGATACAGGTACACAAACTCCTCTGCCAAAAACCCTAGCGCTCTATCCCAAGTTTAATTTTATACCACTTTGTTGGGATAAACACTTTAATTTTATGGACCAATTATCCCCTCTTGTGTGAACCTAATAAGAAATAGCAAATAAAAATAATAATTCAAACAAGCACGAGACACAAGTAATTTTAACGTGGAAAAATCCCCTCAATGTGAGGAGTAAAAAAACCACAGACCGAAGTCAAAATCTCCACTATAATCAATAATAAGTACACCAAGTTCTCCCTACAACTAGAGGCATATAATAATAATATCTCGAGACAATAAATCTAGGCAAACAAAGGGAATAAACCGGGGAATAAAATTAGAAAGATCTCACTTAGAAAGTTGCACCAACTACCCACTGTATCTGACTGTAGGCAGCTCTAAAAAAATCTCCACTGTCCAGATTAAAGACCCTCGTGTTGTGAACACGTTGTCAAAATTTCACCTCGGTCGGACCACGGATCAACCTCCGATCGTGCAAAAAACCGTTATGTACTGAAGCTTTTCTTTTCTCTTTTTCTTTTCTGTTTTCTCCACTCAAACTGCGTGCAGAAAACTTTTCCCCCTCTCTCTCCTAATTATGGTAGGCGGTTGCAACATATAGGTTAATATATATAAATCCTAAAAGTAGCCCATTTGGGCTTAAAATTGTTGGACTTTCACACATGTGAAAAATACCCAATAAATCTCCCCATTTTCACCGTGTGAAAGAAATTGCCATCCTAGCAGCGGAACGACAAAACTCGAGCTTTTCTCTTGGTAGATTATTTGTCAACATATCGGATCTATTACGATCAGTATGTATCTTCTCAAGTTCAAACAGTCCATCATTGAGAGCATCTCTCATCCAGTGTTACCACACATCAATATGTTTCGTTCTCGAATGAAATGTTGAATTCTTACCAAGATTAATAGCACTCTGATTATCGCAGAATATCACATACTGTTGTTGCTTGAAATCGAGCTCCTGTATAAATCGCTTCATCCACAACATCTTCTTGCATGCCTATACTGCTACAATATATTTTGCCTTAGTCGTAGAAAGTGTAACACACTTTTGTAGTCTTGACTGCCATGACACTGCACCACCTGCAAATGTCATCAAATGTCCGGAAGTAGACTTCCGGTTATCTAAATCTCCTGCCATATCTGAATTAGTGTAACTGACAAGCACTGACTTTTCACTTCCAAAAGTGACCTTCAAACTGGAAGTACCTCGCAAATATCTCATAATCTGTTTTACTGCCTCCCAATGTTGTTTTTTCTATTGGACGTAAACCGACTAACAACACCAACAGCATAGACAATATCTGGTCTAGTACACACCATGGCGTACATCAAACTCCCAACTGTTGAAGCATACGGAACTCTGCTCATCTCTTCCTTCTCTTTTCTGTAGAAGGACTCTGCTTGCTACTCAGTTTAAAATGATTGGATAGATGAGAACTTACTATTTTAGCCTTGATCATATTGAATCTTTCAAGTAGCTTCTCTATGTAATGCTCCTTGCTCATATTGAATCTTTCAAGCAGCTTCTCTATGTAATGCTCCTGAGACATATGCAGTTTCTTGGATGCTCTGTCTCGTGCTATACAGATTCCAAGAATCTTCTTCGTTTGTCCCAAATCCTTCATGGCAAAGGATTTGCTCAACTGTTTCTTCAATATATCAATTCTTAAAATATTCCTGCCAACAATCAAAATGTCATCAACATAAAGCAACAGTATAATAAAGTCATTATCAGAAAACTTCTACACAAATACGCAATGATCAGAAGTAGTCTTTTTGAAGCCTTGCTCCCCCATAACTAACTCAAACTTCTTGTACCACGTCCTTGGTGCCTGTTTCAACCCATAAAGACTTTTATTCAACTTGCACATAAGATTCTCCTTGTCTTTCTCCTCAAATCCCTCTGGCTGTTCCATATAAATCTCTTTATCTAAATCACCATGCAAAAATGCAGTCTTGACATCCATCTGCTCAACTTCTAAGTCAAGGCTCGCTGCAAAACTCATAACTACACGTATAGAAGACATTTTCACAACAGAAGCAAAAATTTCATCAAAGTCAATATCTTTCTTCTGACTAAACCCTTTGACAACTAATCTCGCTTTGTAACGCAGTCGTGAGGTGTGTTCTTCCTGTTTTGCTCAATAAACCCACTTATTTTTCTGTGCGGTTTTTTCTATAGGCAATTTGACAAGGTCAAAAGTGTGGTTTTCATGCAATGATTTCATTTCATCTTTCATTGCACCAATCCACACTCTTTTGTGTTCATCTTCTATGGTCTCCTCATAACTCTCAGGCTCTCCCCCATTAGTTAATAACACATACTCATCAACTGGATACTGTGTGGAAGAACGCCGATTTCTGGTAGATCTTCTAAGTGAAACCTCTGTAGGAACCTATATAGGAACTTCTGTTTCCGACAACTGTTCATGAACATCATTTTCTACCTCAACCTGTTCTAGACTCTCTACTGTACCATCAAGCAGATCATTCTGAACCTCATTCTCAGTTTGCATAGAAGGTTGTGTCAAAGGAACTGAATCCAAGTCAATCAAATCATCACTGTGCTGAAACTCTATTTTATCTGTCTTGTTAATATCTTCTATGGTCTGGTCTTCAACAAATACAAAATCCCGACTTCTTATGAGCTTCTTATGTACTGGATCATACAGTTTATAATCGAACTCATCTTGCTCATAGTCAAGGAACACACATGGTCATGTCTTTGCATCAAGCTTCGATCTCTCATCTTTAGGAACATGTACGAAAGCTTTACACCTAAAGACACATAGGTGATTATAGGATATCTCCTTATCTGACCAAATTCTATCTTGGACTTCAAAATTCAAAGGAACACATGGCGTGAGATTAGAAACATGCACAACTGTGCTTAATGCTTCACCCCAAAATGATCTTGGCAACTGTGCTGTGAAGGCAAACATTTCACCCGCTCAACTAGTTTTCTGTTCATTCTCTCAGCTAGCCCATTCAACTGAGGAGTCTTCGGAGGTGTCTTTTGATGTCTAATACCATGGTTTCTACAATACTCATCAAAAGGTCTACAATACTCACCTTCATTATCGGTCCTGATGCATTTCAATTTCTTACCAGTTTCTCTTTCAACAAGGACATGAAACTGTTTAAACACTTGCAACATTTGATCTTTAGTCTTCAACGTATAGATCCAAGTTTTCCTCCAATGATCGTCTATAAATGTCACGACATATGAGGAACCTCCAAGTGTTTTTGTCTTCATAGGACCGCATACATAAGAATATACTAAGTCAAGTATATTTGGCTTCCTCAAGTATTGAGACGCCTTAAAGGAAACTCTAGTTTGTTTCCCAACTAAGCAATGAGCACATCTTTTCAGAGGTGCATTCTTTATACCAAAAAGATGATTCTTTTTGGCCAAAATCATCAATCCCTTCTCATTAATGTGACCGAGTTTCTTATGTCATAATTCAACAGTCTTTTCATCATCAACTGTATTTATTGCAGAGTCAATAACCATTGATTGCATCAAATACAATGATGAACACTTCTCCCCTTTAGCTACAATCATTAAGCTTCTAGTAAGCTTCTATTTGCCATTGTAGAAGGTATTGCAGAAACCTTCATCATCAAGCTTACCTGTGGAAATTAAATTCATGCGAATATCAGGGATATATTTCACATTCTTCAAAACCAGCGTAGTAGCATTCTTGGTCTCCAAATGCACATCACCAATACCAATAGCTTTTGCTGATCCATAATTACCCATCCTAACACTACCGAAGTCACCAGATGTGTAGGATCCAAAGAAATTCCCTTCTGGATGTAGCATGAATTGACGCGCTACTATTAATCACTCAATTGTTCTACTTTGTAGCTAGATTTATAACATCACCATCAAATAAGATAAGGAAATCTTTGGTAGCTGCAGAAACTCTATCTGTGTCATTACTATCATCATTCTTCTTTTCCTTACCTTTATCATTTTTATTTTCTCTCTTAAGTTGTCATAATACTTCTTTATATGCTCTTTCATGTCACAATGATAAAACTCAACATTGGATAACCGGCCGCTCTTACTTTTGCTTCTATCTCTACCCCTCGGACCTTTACTCTTGCTCCTCCCCCTTCTTTCAGTAAGAAGAACCTCTGACTGTGTGAAGAGCTCGTGATTTTCTTCTCATCTCTTCATTTAAAATTGATCTTCATTCCAGCAAGTTGATTAATGATACATTGGAATGTATTCAAGTGATCTGACATAGGTGTTCCATCTTGATACTTCAAAGCTATCATTTGCTTTATCATAAACATTTTACGGTTTTGCTTTTGGTTCCACCCAAAAGGCCTCATATCAATGGAGATAATTGTCCTCTCTTATATACCCATAATCATTCTCTTCCCTAACCAATGTGAGACTTTGTTTRCATTCTTTACAAACCCAACAGTTTTAACTTAGGCATTGAAGAGCAGATCACCAATGTTTGATTTTTGTTTGTAGGATCATCAATCTTGAAGACAATGTGGACTACATGACACCTGCTTGGATATCAGCATCAACAAGAGAAACTTTAGGTTTAATCTACATGTGCGGGTTGCATATATAATAAACAAGATTAAACTCAGTCATGAAGAAAGGTTTTAAGAAAGAAGTGATCAAGTGGCTCGACACTAGTACATAATTACCTTTTAATGATGATCATTGTCCGTCATTTTGATAATAGGCAGTCGCCTGACATTTATATGAATATTATCATATGTTACAATGATGGTTAGTTTTTAATGACAATTTGTTCGTCTTCAAAACACTACAAGAGTTATAAGCTTTTCTGATGCTTTTTTTTTCTTGATGCTAAAACATTAGTCAGACAAAGATCTCTTCTCTACTACATGTAAATAGTCGGGACTTTTCTCGATAGTTTCTCAAAAGAGTCGAGAAACGTATACTTCTCTCGACTATTTTACGAAATCATCTGGCTATATTCTTTTTTATTTTTAATATAATTCTTGACTATTTCTAAAAAATAGTCGGGAGAAATTAATATTTCCGACCATCATGAATAATAGTCGAGTAAAATTCACTTTACCCGACCATTTTAACAAACTGTTGGTCTACATTTTACTTAATTAACTTTTTTAAATGTTACAATTCCCGACGATTTTAAGAAATAGTAGGGAGAAGTTAACTTTACGCGATTTTTTTTATAAGTGTCAAGCAATATTACTTTTTATGTTTTCTTTTAAATATTAAAACTCCCGACTATTTGGAAAATTAGTTGGGAGAAGTTAAACTTCCCGACGATCTTAAATAATAGTCAGAAAAAGATAAGTTCTATTTTTATGCACCATCGGGCCAAATTGTTTTATTATTTTTAAATATCAAAACTCCCTGACTTTTAATATTAGTAGAAAAAGTTGACTTCCTAACTGTTGGGATAAAAATTGTGGAGCCAAAACTAAGTGGGCCTAAAATTAGAAGAAATCCAATATTATTGTTTTCTCCTTCTTAACTAGGTTTGCCGCTCCCACATACACAAGATATATATATTATTATATAAATTTGTTTTTCCTTCCACTAAGATTAAGTCGAGAAGAAAAACGTGAGTGGCAGCCGTGAGGTGTTAATGCACAAAATTGAGTGGCTGCTGGTTTGTGTGGTTGCACAATATCAAAGGAGCGACAGTGGCAGTGTATTGGTAGTGGAAGAAGACGAGATCTCGGGGTTGTAGTGCATCCTCGACAACCAGATCTTGTGAGTATTGTGATGTTTTTAATTCTTGTATTTCCTAAGATCGCATTGTTGTAGTTCCTAGAAACTATGTGACTTTTGTCGAGACCCTTAGATTGGAGAGATTATATTGCCCATTGTATTTATCTCAATATCATAGTAGAATTCGTTGTCACGGAAGACTTAGTCATAGTTGAGTGAATTGTATCATTTTATTATTTTCCCTATGTTGTGATTGGCTTAGTTTTTAAGAACTGTGGAAAGGGAAAATATTATTGGTAGGTAAAATTTTCCCAACACCAGACTATTTTAGTAAAGAGTCGGGCATATTTTTGTAATTTATTTTTTAAATAATAGGGTTCCCGATTCGTTCAGAACAAATCATTGGGATGATTATTTGTCCCAACTGTTTTTAGTACACTGTCGGGAAAGGGATTTTAAGATTCCTTCCTTTTCATAAATAACTTTGTTTATCGCAGTTTTGTATTCTTTGTAATCCCTACCAATCCCCCATTCCTTACTCTTCACAGTTTTAGACCATATTTCTTGTAGTGAAACTGTCCATCATTGTCACATAAAATGATAGGCATCTTACCAATAACGGGTATCAACATCTATTCAACTGTTGTCGTAATTTATAATGACGGTCACTTTTAATGAATGACAATACACATCATCGTTTCTTTAATAATTAGATAAACAATAATATTGTTGGTTGCACATTATATAACTAACCAACAATATTCTCTTTCTCCAACCTATACACAAAAAGTATGAAAATAGTATTTTATTTTTATTCAATTACTAGCTCTATATGGTTTCAAAATCGATCAGGAGAAAACTACTTTCATTTAGTTATACAATGCTCAAGCTATATTTCATAGGTGTATGATAGTCATTTTTTCATATATATAGTAGAAAACATATAGTGGAAGTGTTTAGTCATTTCTCACACATAGTAGAAAACTATATAATGGAAAGTGTTCGTGTGGATCACTTTTCCATTTTTTGCAAACACTTTCCATTTTTTGAAAAACATTCAAAATTGGTTAATTTGGTTCAAGTGTTTGAATGGACATTTATTTTGAACTGGGATTAAATGTCACTCACGAATTTTCTTCAAGTTTTGGAATTGAACTTTTTTTTTAATATATGAGTTCATATCTCTTCAAAATTCTATCATTAATACATCAATGTGTCTACCGTTATAAACCACATTTTGAAATAAATGCCCATTAACTCCATGACTTCAATTATTTGAGATACACACTTTCTCTATACATTTTCTCTCTATCTCTTCTCCTATACTCTCTTGGGTTCTTGTTCTTATTGTCTCTCTTTTATTCCTAGTTTCATAACATCTACCAATATCAGTATTCTCATTCTTTTTCTTTTTCTTTTTCTCTCTACGTCCAATTAATGAGTCATTCCAAACTATTCCTGGAAAAAAAAAAAGAAAGAAGAATGAGCTGTGATTAAAACCAAATGAAGAAGTCTCATAGTTGACATCATGTAAGTTTGAGTTACATCTAAAGTTATGGTTCCAAAGTTTGATGGATTAAATAGCTATAAGGGTTTGAACATTGATAGGAAAGGTATATGTTTGTGGACCACTGAATATCAAATCAGAGAAAATGTGGTGAGCTTGTTGTGTTGGATGATATTTATCCCAAAACAAATGCTTCTCTCTGTTGCTGCAAAAAGATGCTCTTGGAGTGCAACCAACCTCTGCCTTTAGTTTTCCAAACCCACAACAAGCTGCCTTAACCTCACTAAATCCTGAAACAAAACCCAAAATTGAAAGAGAGAAAAAGAAAAAAAATAAAATAGGGGGTCAATCAAGTTTGTCAGTTCATGCACGCTTTCACAACCCATCGTACATCTTCAGGCCGTAAAATAATATATAAGATAGAGCATATATGAGCATACCAAAAGAAGTGGGCGTCTGAATGGAGGTGAGCATGATTGAGAAGCCATCAAAGTAGGAAAAATGAAACCCAAATAACTCATTTTTCAATCTCTTTAGCAGTGATAGGAGTTGTTGATTGTACTCAAAAGCCCATCCATTAATTTCTGAATTGCATCCTTCTGTCATGTTTTTCAATCTCATTGCCGGGGTGCACCCAATTGCCCCTACACCAATTACCACCAGCTTACGTGCTCCGTTTTCATACAGTCGCTGCCAAACAAATCATGTCACGCGTAGAGTTCATCAAATACTTTACAAAAAAAAAATCAAAACTATATCAATAGTGAGATAATTTGGATGAGTTTTGAAAAAAGATCTTTAATACTATTGGTAAGATCTCTTCTCGTTATCTAACTAAGCATTTTTCAATATTTCTCAAAACTTATTCTGAGTGGTTTTTTTCTAAGAAAGTATTTGTTGGTACATTTGGCGGACCAATACTTATACTTCAAAGTTTAAAAGCAATCAAAACATTAAAATCATTTGCTATCGTAAACCTATTTAAATGATGGAAGTATTTTTACTAAAAGCACTTAGATGAATAAATTTATACCTTGAGTTGGTTCTCGAAATTGGTGGAGACGAGGTGGAAGTAGCGTGAAGGAGAGTAAATTTGGCGAAGGTTGGATGATTGCAAGTAACCAAAAATGTCGTTGCTTCCGATTTCAATTACAAAGAGGGATTTGGATGCACGTGTCTTCGCCTCATTGGCTCCCAACTCCTTCGCCAGCACGTTGTTATATACGGACTCGTAAGACGCTACTTGTTCCGGAAATGATATTGATAGTTTCTAAAAATTAAATAATAAACGTCAGCGGGGATAGCTCAGTTGGGAGAGCGTCAGACTGAAGATCTGAAGGTCGCGTGTTCGATCCACGCTCACCGCATTTTTCCCTCTTTTTTCTTCCTTTTCTAAAAAGTCATTGGGCCCTTATCTTTTTTCTTTTCTAAAAAGTCATTGGGCCCATATCTTTGGGCTTGGGCCCACCGCTACGGACACGTGTGTAGGCGGCTTTTTTTTTTTTTTTTTTTTTTCCTTCTTCTTTAGAATCCATTATTTCATACCTATATTATTTTTATGTTAAGTTTAAAGACTCTAAACTACATTTTAAGTATCATATTTTACAGTTTTAATCTTCCAAGGTTTATTTACGATCTTTTTGCATCCTCAACTTTTTAATATCCTATTAAATAGGTTTCCAAAATGGAATTATCCTGGGAGTACAATAAAATTTATCCAATTATGTTTCCAATAAATAATTTATAAAAAATATTAATGATAAATGGATTAAAATTATTTTTTTATCCAAAAGTCCAAAGATTAAAACAAGTTTAGGAACAAAAAAAAATGGAATAAATATGAAATGGAGTTGTAGAACCAAAATGTATTTAAATTTTAAAAAACAAAATGTTAAATTACTAATCTAGTCTCTATGATTTGGAATTAGTTTTCGATTCCTACCATTTTAAAAGCTTTTTCTAATAAGAAATCAAGTTTTAATGGGGAGAAATGAATTAAAAATATAGAGTTCTAATACACTCCTTATAGTTTAGGTTTAGTTTCGATTTGTTTCTAATAGTTTTAATAATTTCAATAATAGGTTTAGTTTCCTATTTTTAACTTAGCCTAATCGTACCACACTATGAGATTTAGCTAAACCCGAATAAAAACATCAGCCCATTAATTAACATGTAAGTAGAATATGTGCTAGGACAATGTTGATAACGTGAGGACAATTTATGATATTTGATCAAATGATAGGGATGAAATTAAAATCTGTAATACTATACCGACGCACAATTGAAATATTTAAAACTATAGGGGAATCGAGAAAGTTGTAAAACCACGCTAACTAAACTCAAATTACGAGGAGGGACTAAATTTGAAATCTAAAAATAAAAAAAAAAGGTTTCTAAAATAAAGTATTTTATGAAATGCACACAAATATAAAGTAAGATATTATTTGACTTACAAATAATGTGTGGTTTGATGGTGGAATAATGGTAGCTCCTCCAGAGGCAAAGTTGAGGCCATTCTTCAACTTGGTCCTATTATTCATTATTGATAGATATGATGGTGCAGTTGGCAAACCCACCTTCTCAGCTACTCCATTCAAACAAAAAACAAAATTAAAATCTAAAATTCACAAGTATTCATAAAAAATAATTTAAAAATACTTAACAAAGATTTTAGGGGAAAATAATAATAAGGGGAAATGTTCAAACAATCAGTAAAATAATATTCTTAAAAAACTCACAAATTTCAACCAAGAAAAAGATAACACAACCAGCTCTATTATCATTTTCTACAAATTCATATCAATTCCATATTAGACAGATACGTTTTATAATTTGTTAAATGCACTGAGAATACTTTTTATTTAACAATTCCTTAGACAAAAGCTTATTATAAGGTAACAATTATAACATTCGGTTTAAATTAAGGTAAAGAATGCAATTTTCCCCTAAAATCTAACATAGCTAAGTGGTAATTGATATATATCTCCAACCAGGTTGTGAGTTCAGTCCCCCGTCCCTACCTGTTCTACTAAAAAAAGAGAGATAAAACAGACCATTTAGGTTAAAAATTAATTTTTTTCCCCTATTTTTTAAGTATCTTGCGAGAAAGAAAGAAAAAATTGAGAGATTTTATTGTGGGTTGGTCCTGGTACGGTAGTGCTGTATTAAATCTCTCCTCAGTTTAAGTTAGGTTTGTGCTTTTAAGAAGGTTTTAGGTTGGTGCATCAAATAAAGACCTATATTAATTTACCAACAACATATAAATGAAACTTGAAATTTAAAAAACAACAAAAAGAAAATTCCATTTTATTTTATTTTCTGTTTTATTTATTTGAGATATTTCCTGAAAAAAAAAATAATATTTTCAGTAAATATTATTAAAACATACAATATTAATTAAAACAAACTCTCCTAAATTTTCAAAATGGATACCTCATTTTGGTAAAGATTCGTATATAAATGGGCATGATTATTTACATCCCTGCCAGATTTTTAGAATCAACCTATACAATTAAATTACAGATTTGGTCTAAGCATTGTGTCAATTAAATTATTTAAAATTTAAATCAGATCCATAAATTTTAGAAAAATTATATTTGTATGGAATTATAAGTAGGTAATTGGAAATGGAAAAAAACTTGCTGTAAGGAAAAATTTACTCTTTAATACTACTAACTACTTGACAACCCATTATTTTTTTTTTGTAACTTTTCTATTTTTGCATTAATTTCTATAAATTATTTAATGGTATTGAGAAGAAGTTCCTCCTCCTTAAACTTAAGGAGCCAAATTTTTTCCATTGAAAATATTTTTAGTATAAATAAATATATAATATGTGTTTTAAACATTATTAAAAACATTATTATAGAAAAGTATTATAGTTTACGAAGCATATTGTTGGTGATTCCAAAGTTGAGAATGTTAATATGAGCAGATTAAAGTAGTTCTCTGCAACCAAAAGGTCATGAGTTCGAATTCTCGTTCTGTTATATTAAAAAAAAAAAAAAAAAGTAGTGGTTACCGAGAAAATCAGCGGGATTCTTGCCGTTGCAGAACCTTCCGGTGGGCTTTCCGGTGGGGAAGTCGATGCCATTAGGATAGAAGTTGGCTTTCGCCGGAGAGAAGCCTAAGAAATTATTGTTTCCGACGTCTACTAAGGAGTCTCCGAATACATACATTGCCGGAACCCGAACCCGAACCGAAGCAGCCTCTGAAAATAATGTGAAGCAATTACCACACACCACAAAGCTCAAGAAGAAGAAGAAGAAGAAGAAGACACTCTGAATAGTTGAAGCCATGGCCGAAGAAGTTGGCATTATTCACTCTCTTGCTCTATCTGTAGCTACTTCACTTCATTTGGGGTTTTATTTCCTTCACCAATAATCTTAAATGGCCTGCTTTCCACTGAAATTTTTAATAATATGGGCCGAAGGGCCACACATGTAATTATTATTATTTTTTAAGTGTTTTTCTACTAACTATTTTTACTATGTGCAAGTTTTGGCACAGGAGAGTAATTAAAAACTAACCTGAGTAATATTATGTAGATATTATAAATTAAATTCTAACTTGATGAGCGAGGTTAAATTAGAAATAAGAATTTACACTACTACATTATGGATTTCTGTGAGGTCGATGAATAGTAAAAAAAGGCTCGAAAAGAAAAAAAAATTGGTGCATCATGAAATATAAAAGGTGCGTTTTTTGGTGGGAAATAAAATAGTGTTTTTCGAATTTTTTTGCTCTTCTTGATGAGAAGTAGGGAAAACTTAAGATTACATGACGTTTAAAAACTGCTACGAAAGGGTTGACACCTGCTTTTTAATTGGAAAAGATAAGATTTGCGAATTTTTCGTTATTTATGAAGTTTTTTAAACGCTTGTGAAAAGAAAATTAAAAAAGCTGGATTCTATGACACTTAAAAAATGTCACAGAACGGTGGAGGTGTGTTTTTTGGCGGGAAATGACAGAAATTTATGAATTTTTGTCACCAAAATTTTTGGAATTCTATGACAGTTAATGTAACAACCCGTATTTTCGAATATGGCCATTCTAACAATATTGCAGAAGCGTAAACAAATAACCATTATATTAAAGGAAAAACTTCTTTATTTAATTTGATACGTACTATGACAAAAGATACAAGTCCAACCTTGAAACAGAAACCTATACTATGATGAAGCCAAATTATAACTAACTAAGTTCTTATAGTCTAAAAAAATGGAAAATACTAAAGATTCCAACTCCTTATCCCAGAACGCTATTCCTCGATCACTATCTGAGCGACTGGAACCTTCATCTGTAAACATTTAAAAAACAGAAAAATGAGAACAAAACTACTCAATAAGCAATTTTCATGTCAAACATTGAAATTCATTTTTCCTTTTGAAACATTTGTAACAAAAATACCAACCGATCAAAACTTTCAAAATTCCTTCTAAAACATTTGGTACAGCTTTCAAACTTTCGAATAAACTAAATCATTCAAACATTCGAAAAATGTTACATTCATTCATACTTTCAAAATGAGAGTGAGAGGTTGCATTATTTGGGTAGCCTACACAACATATGTGGTTACCCATCGGTAACACCAATCAATCAGAAGCTTCTATCAGAGTTGTCGAATTAATATCGACAAAAACAAACAGAATGATTACTTAAGTGTAAGGTCATGTGAGTGAATAACACACAGATGAATTTTCATTCCCAAGGAATGCCAAACCACAAAATGACTTCCCACAAATAAGCCAGAACAGAAATCCATCAATTTCAAATTAGGCTACTACCCAAATAAGCAAAACGTTGCTAAAAAAAATGGCATAACTGGATAGCCCTATCAAATCAATCAAAATATCTTTCAAATAAATATGCAAAACAAAGACATACTTTTAATATGAAATCAGTTCAAAACATTTAAATAATTTCAAACAAACTTTGTTAAATCATACCAAACACAATTTTAAATATTTTACAAATAATCATAATATCAATTACCAAAATATTTATCAAATCCATAATAAAACTTCATTTTCATAGGCAAGACATCAATTTCAAATCTTCATATCAAATCCAAAAAATAAATTTTAGTTTTGAGAGGGACTTAAAATACTTTTATGGTAAATCACTTAAAACAGTCGAAGGGATATGGGAAATCACTACCTCTCCCGAAAATCCAACAAATTTGAAACTTCTTCCTTGGGTAGTTGTCAACTTAGAGGCCTAAAAACAACCAAGGTTTTAAATGTCGATGTTGATGGAAATGTCGAACTCTCAATTTCAGGGAAATATCGATGAAAATATCGATAAAATGTCGAGCCGATGGATATTTCTGTAAAAGTTAGAAAAATTAAAAAATCTTAAAAAATATTTAATTGAACAAATAAACATTTTCCCATTTCTAAATTATTTAAAAATAATTAATATATATATTATATATATATTAGTGACATTTTGTTGATATTCTTCATATTTTGTCGATTTTGTTGTACTATGATGGAAATGTTGATTCACCCCTCATATCGATGTCGAACCCTTGGAAACATGGATATGTGGATGGAAATGTCGACGTGTCGACGTATATTTTGAACCATGGAAACAACCAATATCCAAAATCAAATATATATATATATATATATATATATATATATATATATTTGGTTGCTACAGTTAAAAAATGTTGCAAAATGATGTGGTACATTTTTTGCGAAAAATTATGGAAGATTTACTCACGCGTTGTGTTCATTTATGGCATTTGTTTGGTTGTGTAATCAACTAGTGGTTTCTTGGTCTAATTTCGCAATGGTTCTTCTCCTTCCTAAGACAAAGAACGGTTTTTTCATCAGCAAAGGATAAACTAATTGATTGGGAAAAAAAATCATCACTCAACTTTCAACCATTGATTCAAGTACCGTTCCGCTTCTTTAAGTTTAATTCTCTTGAATTCAACATGTGAAATCAATACGTGGCTTTAATTTTATGGGTTTCAATTTTCCCAACAACTAGTATTAGAGTCTCCTCTGGTTAGTTTTTGAGAAATATTTATTTTTTTGTAATGTTGGAATTGTTTTATAATTAGGACTTTTTCATCTTCATCATATGTTCGATTTGTACTAATTTATAATCTTCTTAAAATTAATTTAGAAACTTTCACTGCATAAATAGAATAAAAATATAGTCAATTTGCCTTTGTAAGTTGTGAACATCTCGGTGTTAAAATTGCATTGCTTATAATCTCGCAAGAAATTTTGGTAAAGTGAAACTCAAAATAAATGACCATGATCTGTATTTATACAGTGTTACAATCCCTAATGTGTATAATCTTCTAATGCTTTCTCTCATATGCAAACTTCGATTTGAGGGTCGTGAGCTGCTTCTCGAAACAAGAAGATCGAACCGGTCTAACCAGCCAAGTGATAAAAGCTTGTTAGTTTTGACACTTTGTCAGTCGAAGATCGATTTATACAAAATCCACAGGTCGAACGGTCTGGCTCATTAAAAAAATGGTGGAAACTGACCAACTGATTCCTATATATTTTTTATATAAAATAAAATAAGAAAGATTTAATGCGTGTTAGCCTGCTGCCTTGGAATCCAAAGCGTGCAGCTTTAGAAAACAACACCTTTAATGCGTTTCAAATCATATTAACTTAATATTTAATTAGTTAATTAATTTTTAATTTTTAAGATTTTCTTTTCCTTTTCTTTCATTTTTCTTCTATTTCCCTCACTCCATCCCTGGATGCAGCCTCATCATCAGGCTAAAAGCTCAAAGGTCAGTCCAAGTCCAACCCAAACTCGATCCAAGTTCGACCCAAAGTCAATGTTTGACCGGCTCAGTCCGGCCCAACTCAGCCCATCCATAAATTGGATTGGATATGGATATTTTTTTTTAAATTTGGCTGACCCATGGGCCGGCCCATTTAAGTCGTATTTGGATCGGCCCATTGAAACGGCCCAAAGGCCCTATCCAATATAGTCTATATTATTATATATTGTATATATACATATATTAATTATTAATATATAGTTAATTATTATCTTTTTTGTCATTCTCATTTCTCTAAATTTTTTTATATTAATATAGTAAAGTAATACAATTAATTTCTTTAAAAATAAAATAAATTAAGTTGTAAAAATATAATATAACAAAATTTATTGATAACGTTTTGAAAAAAAGACTGTAGAGAATAAAATAAAAACACAGAATCTAAAATTAAGAACGTTGTTGGAAAAAATATTTAAAAATTAATTTTTAATAATTAAAAAAAATTATTATATGGACTCATTCAAGCCTGGTCCAAAGGGTCAATCCAAGTCCGATCCAACTTTGGCCCATTGTGTTAGGCCCAAGGATTGAGTCACTGGCCTAGGTTTTAGTGACTGGGTCTGCCCAAGCCCAACCCAAACAATGTTTCTTTAGGCCGGGCTGGGACAGGCTGGCCCAATGATGAGKGTGACCCATATGTGTAATCGCCTTCAACGAAATGATTTTGACAATAGCATTGGTTTCAGATGTGCAAGTGATAAAAGATCGTCTCCATAGGGATCCTAATAACTCGCTCTAAATTTTAACCTAAATATTTGGTGACCAATTAAGTATACTATTTTATTTTCTAAAATTAAACAACAATTTTTTTTGTATGACATGTGGGGTGGGAGATTAAACTCAAACTTTTTAGGTTGAAGATATATGTCAATTATCATTGAATTATGCTTGCTTTGCCAAAATTAAATAACAATTAAACATACACGCATAAGAAACGCAATTTATCACAAATGAATAGTAAAGAAATGAAAGGATATTATCAACAATAAATAACAGGCGATAGATTAATTCCTTTTACTTTATTGCTTAACTTAATAGTCGAGCATCAAAGTCACTATTATTATAGGCATATCACGTCATCATATAGTTAATAAATGTTAATTTAAAGTAGTAGAACATAATTGAAATCCTCTGAGGAGTCATTGTTTCATTGAAATCTAAGATAGATATACAAATTCCTATTGTTATTTGACATGAATGTGGGATACCGTGCATCTTAGAATTCTTATACGAAAGACATCTAAGCAAGATGCCCACGCTTAGGGCATCTTGTTATAACATTTTTGTCTTTCATTTTTCTTCTTTATATATTTTCTTTTATGAATATTCTTTATTTCTATTTTTTATTTTTCTTTCAAAATAAATTAATACATTGATAAGTGAATATACACTAACTACGGACACATATATCAAATAAACTTTAGTCAATTGTATAATATCTTAATTTATTTTCTTGTAATATAGTGTATAATCTTTCATTTATTTCACTTTTCCAATATTCACCAAACAT